AGTGTGTGTGTGTGTGTGTGTGTTTGTGTGTGTGTGTGTGTGTGTGTGTGTTTGTGTGTGTTTTCCTACAATTGTTATTTTATGGTGACCAGTTCTAGTTTAAGACATTTTTTTTGTCTTCTCGTCTTCAACAAACATCCACCTGCTTACTGTTGCTGTTGTTGACTGTTATTGTTGTTGACTGTTGTTGTTGTTGACTGTTGTTGGAGTTGTTGACTGTTGTTGGAGTTGTTGATTGTTGTTGACTGTTGTTGACTGTTGTTGGAGTTGTTGATTGTTGTTGACTGTTGTTGACTGTTATTGTTGTTGACTGTTGTTGACTGTTATTGTTGTTGACTGTTGTTGACTGTTATTGTTGTTGACTGTTGTTGACTGTTATTGTTGTTGACTGTTGTTGACTGTTATTGTTGTTGACTGTTGTTGACTGTTATTGTTGTTGACTGTTGTTGACTGTTATTGTTGTTGACTGTTGTTGACTGTTATTGTTGTTGACTGTTGTTGACTGTTATTGTTGTTGACTGTTGTTGACTGTTATTGTTGTTGACTGTTGTTGACTGTTATTGTTGTTGACTGTTGTTGACTGTTATTGTTGTTGACTGTTGTTGACTGTTATTGTTGTTGACTGTTGTTGACTGTTGTTGTTGTTGACTGTTTTTGTTGGTGAATGTTGTTGATTCTTATTGTTGTTGTTGACTGTTATTGTTGTTGTTGACTCTTATTGTTGTTGTTGTTGTTGAGCAGTCACAGGTACAGCAGGTGTGTTTCTTTATGTTTTAACAGAAACATTCTTTTTTTTAATTCACTAAAGTCAGTGAGTCTAAAACTAAAGTAACACTCAGACTGCTGTCGGCTCAGAGCTCTGCAGGTGAACAGTGTCCTGCAGGTATCTGCAGGTATCTGCAGGTGAACAGTGTCCTGCAGGTATCTGCAGGTATCTGCAGGTATCTGCAGACTCACGGTTCACACTCAGTATAAAAAGAACTTTTCGTCTGATTCGGTCTAAACTCTCGTATCGTCGACACCTTCCTCTCTCAGCTCTCCGCTGCCAGGCGAGTCTATTTATTCCTGTGCACACCTGCCGTGCACAGCGGGCGGTGGGAGCGTGCATGTGAGGCAGCTGCTGGCATGGGACCAGCAATCTGAAGCGCACACACACACACACACACACACACACACACACACACACACACACACATGCGTTTGCCAGAAACCGGAGCCGGTGAGGACTCGGCCCCTGGCAGGTTATTTTAGTCCACAGTCGCTGGAGGTTTTGTCTGAGCGTCAGACAGAGACTGAAGTTTTTAAATTCTCAGCATGAATGACGAGATCACCTGAGAGGGTTTTTCTTTATGCTAAATTTTATTCTATATATAAAGTTGATGTGAAACGGTTCGACTAAACGTCACGATCGAAGTCAAACAACTGAAAAGCTTCTTCATGGTCGGGTTGATGGCAAATCTATAAACAAGGTTATTTCTGCTTTCCACAAAGGGAGGAATCAACCCGCTAAATAAAAGGTCACACTGACTTTGACTTTCGGCCACCAAAATATAATCAGTTCCATCCAGGTGTTACTGAGATATCACGTCCACGAGAAGGAGACAAACGGACAAGCTGAAAACAAAATGGCTGCCACTCTGACTGTCGCTGGTGTGGAGGAAATAAAAACAGGAAGCAGAGATTCAAGTAACAGAGGACGAATGGTTGGAACATCCACACACTCACACTGATGTTGGCAAAATGTTACAGCGGTCGTTAGAAATATTCTGGGATGTGAAATTTCAAAGACATGTCCAGTGATGCATCTTGGGAACATTAAAGGTGCCGTGATGAGAGGAGATCTCGACCTGAGCTGCAGGTCAGACAGATGTTTCCAGAAACATAACGTAAACGCTCCACATCTGGAGCAGAGGCTGGAAACTGTCCGAGACAGTTTCATCACGGAGGAGTTGACACACGTTTATAGAGAACATGTTTGAAAACAGCTGGAAAATGCCTCATTAAAATGTTTGAGTATTAAAGTGTTTCCAGACAAATCAGCTGTTATTTTATTCTGTATTTGTCACGTGTCTGTTTCGTTCTCGATCTGCTGTTCTCTTTATTCTTTTGTGAAAACTCAGACAGACGTCCTCGAGCGCAGCAATAAAATAATAATTACAATAAAAACCTTAGAATAAGACTAGCTGTCGGAGAGCTTCATGTTCGGAGGAAACGTCTCATTTAACGTGTTTAATAATCTGTAACAACTGGATCCTGTTAATTAATCATTTAATCACACAATAAAACAACCTACAGTCACTGTGCTGATTATAATGACTGTGACTAACGAGCTTCGCCTCAGAGAAACTTACAGCAGAGTTTTACACGCGATGTAACGAGCCGTGTGAGAGCGAATCACTGGGGAATGTGAAGAGAAGAATAAACAGGTTTGTTAGTCGGAGGTGAAGTTGTTTCTTCGTTTATTACAAACAGGAAGAGACTCGTTTCACGTGTAAACACATTTATTATGAGGCGCTAAAATAATCATGTAAAACAAAGGAAATTTAAAAAGAAAGTAAATAATATTTATGTGTTTAATAAACGCAATACACTTAATCACAGTCCTCAGGTTTGATTCTGTAATTAATAATTAATTACAACTTAATCGTAACAGCATTTTATTTGTCAATATTTCATCTGTACATTGTCACTATTCATGCACAGATATAGAGCACCTCCATTTTTATTTTAAATTCATTTATAAATGCTCATTAATTATATATTAAATACATGTTTTGTGCTGTTGTGATATTTAAAGGATCAACAAAGTTTATTGTTTTATTCATAGAACAGGCGCCTCATTAAAGGCTAGTGGTCATCAGAGGAACTGCAGTGTTGATGCTTCATGTCTGATGCTTATTAGTTTATGGACATTTCATTTGGTCATTTTAGTACCACAGTGCTATAGTGTCATATCTAACAAAACCCCATGAAGTTTACTTGAGTTAAAACATTATGAGGTTAATGAATGTTTATTATGTTTAATTAACACAAACAAACTAATGTCATTTTATGTCCAAACAATGTCATGTATTGGAATTTTAAAGCCAAATGAAGATAAAGTTTTTTATTATTTAGCTAAAGCTAATTCAATTTGTTCTTCTCACAGATTTATTGCAAACAAAACTTTCCAGTTCAGTAACATGAAAGTTATGTGTACACAAAATAAACTGGATTTTTGTCAGTTTGACAAAATATTTTCAGTAAAATTAAGAAATAATTTGTGTTTTTTTAATTTGTAAGATGAAATTAGAGGCGATTAGACCTCATCTGCTTCATAAATGTAAAATCAACTCAAAAATCAGAACTTGTCGGCCTCACAAAGGATGAGTGTTTGTGTGGAGTGAACATCAAGTTCGTCATTCTGACGCTGACTCTCCTCTTCTGTCATGGATGGATTTTGTTCCAACAGTGAAGTCACAAACTAAAATAATACTTTCTTTTTGCTTACTTTAATTAAATTGATTACACACACACACACACACACACACACGCATATATATACACTGTACATTTATATATATATATGAATCATAATCTAGAAATTCACATTCACAAATACACAGAGACTGAAATAGCTGCAGCCCCCCCCCCACACACACACACACACATATACACACTTCACATGCTTCTTATGTGACCCACAATTCAGGAATTCACACTCACACGTTCACACACGCCATGAAGGAAACGTGTGTCAGACTGAGATGAAAACTTCTCTATATTTACACAATGAACACATGAACACATGAACACATGAACACACGAACACATGAACACACACGAACAGACGCCGAGTCACTGAGACACAAACGTCCAGGTCGCTAAAAACACTGGACACCTGTTCTCTGGATCTCAGTGTGTGTGTGTGTGTGTGTGTGTGTGTGTGTGTGTGTGTGTGTGTGTGTGTGTGTGTTGACACCACACTTTCCTGTCTCACGTGGCCCCCGTGCAACGTTACTTCCTTTACGACCCCCTCCCTATTTAAAGGCCAGAGGAGCTTCAGGGATTAGAGACAGTCCTCACACTCTTCACGCTGGTCGCTCACCCACTGACCGACTGACGCTCTGGACGACTCGGTGCCGACCCGTCCCGGGTGTCGAGGCGGAGCCACGTGTGGACTTTAGTTCCCGATCAGGAGATTTTAAGATTCTAGACGGAAACAAGAGAAGCTGAATATTCCTTCAATTCTGCACTTTACTGGAATTTTTACCAGAAGACAAGAAGACCAGAACCAGAACCAGAACCAGAACCCTTCCCTCTGAAGACTTGAACATTCAGATCTTTTCCGACTTTGACTGCACTGACTCTGTGAGGAGCGACGACACTCTGAAACTCTTTATTTCTAAATCTGTGGAAACGCAAAGTAAAACTGTTTCAGGAAATCGTTGCGTCACCATGAGCAGCGGTGGAACCACCACAGTTTCACCTCAGGAGCCGCCGGCTTTCAAACGCGCCGTACGGAAGATCAAATGTGCCGCCATGGTGGCTAACTTGGCCAAGAGCTGGCAGGGCTGGGCCAATGATCACGCAGGGAAGCAGGACGCCATCCCGAGCGGCTGGATGCCGGCGTCCGTGGAGGATGACAACAAAAAAGAGCGCGACCACGTGGTCAAACTGACAGTCACCCCGCGTGTCATTGCGGCGGACGCCTCCGACACTGGCGGCAGTAAGATCAGAACCTGCTCCGTCACTAAGACAGTGCAGCCAAAACGCAGCGAGTGCAGCAGTAGCGACTTGGTCAACGCCATCCGAGGAAAGATGGAGTCGGGTCCCGAGGACAGCAAGCCTTTCCTTGGCAACGAGTCGCCGACACGGCGACGTCAGATGAGGGCGCTGCAGAGTGCAGCGGCAGGAGGAGGGGTCATCCAGGACAGGAAGATGATGCTCCAAGAGAAGAAGAAACTGGGGTCAAGGAGCGGCAGCGTGGAGACGGAGGACAGCGGGCTGGAGGAGGAGGCGGGGCTTAGCGACAACGGTGAAGCCAAAACCGAACACGGCGACATCGAGTTCAAGAAACAGACCGACAGACCGAAGGTAGAGTCGCTCGTCACAAAGAGCAGAGACACATACAACATCTTTACACTGAGTTAGTGTCAATTTACATTTAAAGCTTTTACAATCAATATTTTTATGATCAATCAATCATCAATCAATCATCAATTGTTGACTGTAATTCATCTTACTCTTTTGGTTTCATCAAAAGTCACAGTTTGATTCAGTCTCTGATCACTTTCATAAACCCAGTTAAACCCAGGTGTGTGTTACCTGTCAGGTATGTGTTACCTGTCAGGTGTGTGTTACCTGTCAGGTACCAAATCCAGAAAATCCAGAAACACATTATAATATAATATAGTTATTATAATATAATGTTGTTCTACAGCCGCAGGATGTAAATAAACTCTCTGCTGCCCCCAAGTGGCCAAAAAATAAAATGCACCAATAATATAAAACAAATAAACAACTACTATCTAATAACTAATATCCAAACCTATTATTTGATGCCAGAGGTCATCTGTGATTGGTCCATCGGAGTGTCATCAGTGACGAGCTCACACAGGAGCTGATATGACCTCACGTCATTACCCTTTAATTCTGTTTTGAGACGTTTGTGAGACGTTATGGTCTGCCCCCCCCCCCCACTCCCTGAGTCAAACACCTTAAAGTGGAGCATGAATAAAATCTCACAGTGTGAATAAACAACTTCCAGCAGACGTCTCTTTGATGTCACCTGAAGAAATCAAAACCCTCACAACAGTTTCATAACCGCACTGAGACCCAAAGGAGGGGGCCGGGGTGGGGGTGGGGCTTCAGCGCAATGGAATATATGTAAATAAATATAGTCGTGGACTGCAACGTGTTCTCCAACCTGACCTTCAGGTGGGCCGGGGGGGGGGGGGGGGGGGGGGGGGGGGGAGGCGGGGGGGGGGGGGGGGTGCGGGGGGGGGGGGGCACGAGGGAGGAAATCAGACCCCTACAGGAGAAACGGTGTAAAGACATTTTATTACATTAGTTTTCTGAATTAAACCTGATGAACGTCTTGATGAAAGAATTGGTCGTCAAGGTGATGTTGAGGTCGCTGGATGTTTCTATGAATATCTCAGTGATGACACAGAGAAGAAATATGATTTAAATCTGTCGACTCTCCACTTTTCCTTATATATTCTTACAGAGATCACACATGACTCACAGCCTCTGAACTCTCATCTTAGTCATTTATTATCCATTTATCTACTATTTTACTCACATATTGCTCTATTTTTATGAACCTATAGACTTTGATGAACACATTAAAAACACCAGAACAATTCATCCAGTGAAGATTTGTTTTCACAAAATATTCAAAGAATTTCAAAAGCCAGGCTTCAATATTTCAGCATTTGAGCCGAATGATGTGTTTGCTCTACGACACAAAGGAGCGTCGTTACAGAAGGAGCTGAGATTGTTCTGAAAATTATGACATAAAACACTTGGGTGTTATGTTTTATGCAGGAACGCTGTAAAGGTGAATTTAAGAAATAATGTGGAAATGGAGAAAATGCCCTTTGACCTCAGTACGTTCTAAGCGTTTTCATGACTGAAGCATCAGAGGAAGCGTCTGTCAGAAAATTCAGAGGTTGTCGGTTTAATGAAGCAGCAGATCTGAAACAAACAGCAGCTTCATTAACTCCAGGGAGAAAATATCTGTCTGTGCAGCTGCTGGAAACTCTGGAAATGAGATGGAGGAGAGCGGCAACCAAACAAGCTCTGTGCGAGGCTGATGGGACGTCATTAGTTTCACTGGATTTGGTCATAAACCAAATAAAAGTGTGTCATCATGGTGGCGTTATAAGAAAAGTCAATTTCCATGCTCTTAGTTATCTTCACTGAATTTCATGTTGGTCTGTGCAGAAGCTCAGATATTTCACCCAAAAACAAAATGTCGCCCTGAGTCTGGAGACTGACACTGTCAGCAGCACGGCCAAAAACAAATGAGCTGAAAGACACTAAAACGCTGTGAGTTTGACCCAATGATTATATACAAATATGGATTAGATAGCTTTGAATAAATGTTGATTACACGTCCTGTTTCCAGAACTTTACTAAAGTGGAAACAGGATTATTTCAGCACTTTAATTATCGTTAAAATAAAAAAATTATATTCTAAATGAATTTAAACAAATGCATAGAAATATGAGCAGCAACATGTAACACAATATCAAAAGTGATTGGCTCATTTAATACAGTTATATTATGTGCATATACATTATTGAATTGAATCATAGTGTCATAATGTGTAAACTCTGTTATCATTATAAAGTTTAATCTGTTACAGTGAGACATATTTTATGAGCTGATAATATATATTTTATTTTACAGCTGTCAGGTTCATACAGTGGAATAAAAAGTTAAATATTTTATTCTGAAATGTGAAGAAATACTTAAATAAATCCTGTTTCCACCTCTGGTCTCGTCCCAGCTGCTGCCTGTAGAAACAAACTCAGAAACAACAGATGGAGTCAAAACAGGAAAAAGGAAAAGATTCGTCAGGACGATTTTCACTTTAAGGGTTCACAGAGTTTCGTGGAAGGTCCTTCAGTTACAGGTCCCGACTTCACATAGAACAAATACCAAAGAGATCTGATGACACTGATCTGAAGGCTGAACAAGCTGAGGAAAATACCAACAGGGGAGGAAGGAGGGAGGGAGGAGGGAGGAGAGATGGAGAGATTAAACAGGAAGGACGAAAAGAAAAACAAGACTTTGATGAAGAATAAGAGGAAGGAGAAAGATGAGAGGAGACAAAGACAAAAAGAGAGAGGAAGGAGAGATAAGATGATGATAATATGAACAGCAGGAGTTTTTTTATTTTATTTTATTTCAAAGGTTGAATTGACACAAAAATGTCAAACATTAAGATGCAGCTCAGTTTGCAGAGACAGATTTTTTGAACAGCCACAAAAATGGACAAAAAAACCTTCAGGTTGTAAAATGTAAAGTTTGAATCATGCAGGCTGATCCGAGCGTCCATATCTCCATTTATATAAACTCTGTTTGAGTGCAAGGTAAAGGCCATGCAAGGGATCAATTACAGCAGCTAGAAGGACGTTTATTTAAAGGTGGAGAGTCACTACTCAACATTATACGGCACTGTCACTGAGAGAGCAGCTGACAAACAGGAAACAGAGTTTAAATGTTAAGAATAAAAGCTCAGCCACAGAGTCTAAGATATCCTGACTTTTAATCAAGCTTAATCCTACAATTCCCATAATGTATCTTTCATTAGATCTTCCTTTCTTGTACATTCCTGGAGCCAGTTGCACAAAACACCTTAAGTTAAGGTTTCCTTAACTCAAAAACTGTCTTAGACCTAAGTAGAAAACTCAAGGTGTTTTGTGCAGCCTTCCCCTGCATCTTTCAATCGCCATATTGTGCGTTTGTAGAGTTCTGTGTAAGCTCGATCACATGGATGTTTACCTGTTCACCCTCATGTGTCTCCAGATTAAGATCGCCACCATGGGCGACATCAAGAGCCGCTGGCAGCAGTGGTCCAATCAGCACATGGAGGGCCAGAAGCTCAACCCCTTTAGCGAGGAGTTCGACCACGACTATGCCATGGCTCAGCGCCTCCGCAAGGGCGACTCCGGTTACGGTCGACCCAAAGACGGCTCCAAGACGGCGGAGAGGGGCGACCGCGCCCAGAAGCACATCCACAGGGAGATGGAGGAGATGGTGTGGATCATCAGAGACATGGGCTTCGAGGACAAAGAGGGGAGGACCATCATCTCCTTCGGACGCCTCTTCGACCGCTACGTGAAGATCTCGGACAAGGTGGTGGGCATCCTGCTGCGCTGCCGCAAACACAAGATGCTGGACTTTGAGGGGGAGATGCTGTGGAAAGGACAGGACGATGATGTCATCATTACGCTTAGGGACTGAGGACACACACATGTCGTACACACATCCACACACACGGAAACATGCATGTAAATCACCAGCAGACATCACCTGCCATGCTAACCACGATGCTAACCACAATGCTAACCACAGTGCTACATCATTTATGCTAGAAAAATGGAGGAATACTAAGAAGAGACTATTAGAAAAATTATATAGTGTTTATGAGAATTAATTTTTAATATTAATATGGATTATTAATGAATGTTTAATGATAATCATACACATAACAAAACTTTAAGGATAAACACATTGAAAGGAAATGAATGGAACTATTAACATATTAACAGGCATACACATGTAAGCCACACACACACACACACACACACACACACACACACACACACACACACACACACACACACACACACACACACAACACACACACCACACTCTCATATGTACCTGACAGGTCATCCGGTGAAAGGAAGCTATGTTTAGCATGCTGACCATGCTAGCCTCGCTAACTATGCTACATGCTAGACGCCTTGAGAATCTAACATAGTGTCAGTGATGTTAAAAGCTTCAGTCAGACTGCAGCTGAAGAAACTTACACCTGATCTCATCTCATAACTCAGACTCAACGAGGTCTCTGTTCTGTCCTGTTAAGCTAATTTCGTTGGAAGCTAGTAAATGAGCTAGCCATGACGTTAGCAATGTTACAGAACATCCTGGGTGTTTTTGTTAATGACAACAGGACAAAAACAGGACAAAGAGTCAAAACAACAATTACATAGCAATATGACCAAAGTGTTTCTTTTGTTTTGTTTGTTTAGTTTTTAGTTTTTTGTCCTCTTTAGACTGACTTTAGCGTCACTTGCTAGCAGAGCTAAAAGCCTGGCAGCAGCTAATATTTACATTAAGGCAGAAACAACAGAGGAAAAAATTAATTGTCATTTTAATTGGATTCTTTTTATGTTTGTTATTATGTATGTTTTGTATGGGATTTAAACTAAATCAACTTTTGCTGATACTTTTATAGAGTTCTGCAGGAATGACTCCTGAGCCACAGAAATTAAGCTAGTTAGCATTTTAGCTGTTAGGTTCCCTCATCCAGAACTCTGGGTTTTTGAATAGGTTTTTGATTAGATGACTGAAATACAGTCTGTAATTTACACAAAAACATTTTCATATTTTATTCTACAACAAAAAACATAAGTAAATACCCCACATGTGATTTTTTTTAAACCTTTTACTTGTCTTAAAGTCAGTGGTTGCTAATGGCTAAATGAGACTACAGGAAAGGCTTTTGTAGAAGAGATCAGACCTAAATCAAACTACAAGTTGAAGTCTAGAGGTGGTGGTGTTGAAGTCATGTGACCGTGGTATAGTTGGTATTTAGCCTAATACAGTGGTACCCAAGTGACAAAAATCATTTGCAAAACAGCACAATTTTAGTGAAAAGATGTAATTATAAAAAATAAAAAATATAATAAAAAATAAAATATAAATAATGTTTTTCAATGTTTTGAGAATAAAAACATAAAAAATGTTGAAAAACTTAAATCACAGGATTATTTATGTTGGCCCGGCCAGACCGCATCATATGGTGAGAGATTTTTAAGTCGGCCATGAGTTAGAGAAGGTTGATAACCACCGACCTAACATCAGCTTTTTACTTCTGCTGATTGTATTGAGGCTTAAACATGATAAAGTGGTTAATTAGTGAAGACGATCCTGCTGAAGTAAACCTGTCAGGATCATAACACTGTTGTTTATTTTTACTAATAATTCAAAAGACAATGGAAAAATCCCATTGGCTTTTAATGGAGGGAACCAGAGTGATGCTAACTTCCTGGTTGGACTACAAACATACATCACCCCTGCAGCTCTATAGGTTGTACAGTATGTAGATGCAGTTGACACACTCGGCTTCCTGTCGTCTGTCTTTCAAACTAAAAGTCAGAGCCATAAACTTTTTTTTGGACCACAATAATTAATCTGTGAACCGTTCTCCAGCAGCTGACTGGTTGATTGGCCCTTGATTTTCAGAGCAGAGGAGCTTTGTAGAGTTAATGTGATAAGCTCTCACACATACAGCGTTTCATCTGTAGAGGAAATAACAAGCAACAGGAGGCTGGAGCCCAGTGATGGAAATCTTATCTGCTGATTCATGTATGAAAACCTCTCCTCCGCTGAGCGCATGTGTGACGTGTGATAGTCTTCAAGTAAATAATTGAATTGTGAAAAGTCATTTACCTCATTTTAACTTTTAGCAGAGGCTTGATTGGAGTGAATGAAACTTGCTAATGCACAATAAATTAATTTTGAATACTTTTCTTTCAAAGTGAAAGCATGCGAGTCTTCTTACAGAAGAACATTTAAAGATAATGTGATACAGAAACTGTGCCGGGTGCTGCATCATGCACAGATTAATACGACTGTGAACAGAGATAAGTGGAACATCATTCAGCACTGAGACTGTGAAGGTAGAGGTGTAGCGTTGTTGCTGTGCTCAGAGTGTTAACGTAGGAAACACTGACGTCAATAAAGGTTTAATTTAAACACTGACATCCTGTTTTTCTTTGTTAGAGCAGATTGTGTTGGATATTGAGCCGCTTCATACGGTGAGCGAACAGTAGAGGCTGCTGGGGGAGGTGTAATGCCTTGCTCAAAGGTCACTCAGGTCACTTTCACACTCATAGTCTGGTTCATTTTGTCACATCAAGGGTAGAAAGCATAAAAAGATAGTTCTGTATTACAAAACAAACCAAGAGGGATGAACAGGAAGTCACATTTTCATCCTCCATCGTCATGGTTACCACATGATGTTGTGTCAGTATCTAGTCTCATCATCAGCTAATTTGATAATAGTTCAGCCTAAAATCAGACGTTTAAATCCAGTTTAATCTGCTTTGACTTCACACCATGAACAAACTACAGCACAGACCGTCGTGGTCTGTTTGGACATTTGTTTCATTTCCTGTTTTATTTTGTATTACTTTCTTTGTGTGTCTTGTGGTCATTTTACTTCCTGTCCTTGTCCCGTTTCCCTCCTTGTTGATTGGCTGCCCTCCCCCTGATGTGTTTCACCTGTGGTCAATCACCTGTGTTCAGTCACCTGTGCCTCTCTGGTGTGTATTTAGTCTCTGTGCTCTTCTTTGTCAGTTCGTCCTGTTTTACCTGGTTGTACTCTTTCTTTTTTCTTTGTTTAATAAATCACCTGTTTCCTTGCTCTTGGATGGTCTGGGGTCCTTTACAAACACACCAGTTTGTTGCTGTGTCATCACACATGATACAGAAAATATAAGAAAATATACACAATTTAGAAAGAAAAAACAAAGTCACACAACACAAAAAAGAAAATGATTCACACTCGTAAGCCTCAGAAACATCTCTGTAAACCACTGTTTTCAAAACTGAAAGGAAATTCCACATTTTTAAACATTTATATCAGTATTGTTGTCAGTGTTGCTGCTGCAGTGAAAAGAAAATCAATGATTTCAGCTTCAACAGAGTCGTTCAGTGTCTGAGCCGTAAATGAAGCAGCGACACGTCAGACGATGGACGAATCAATCATCGCTGTCACAGTGATGTAACGTCTCTGATAAACACTGTCGTCCTGTCGTTCAGTCTGGAGGGTGTGTGGAACCAGACTGTGTCAGAGGGTCTGTGTTAACATCTCACACACACACACACACACACACACACACACACACAGGTCTGGGTCCGTCCAGTGAGGCGTCTCCTGCGATAACAAACTCCTCGTTATCCAACCTAATTAATAAATCAGAGTCAGAGCTGGTGGACTGGTCCTCGCAGCAGAGACCGGTCTCTTATTGGCTGATGAAGACACGATGAAGACTAATGGACGCCTGTGGTCTGTCTCCATGGAGCAACGAGTCTGTTAACTCATCCATCCATTACTGAGCTTCACCAGGAGCTCGTGTTGTAGGACGGAAGATTATTTATTAATCACTCTGATGTCAATGCAGCACGTTTATCTTCTTATACGAGCTGAATATTTTATAGGTTTTAAATCTACAGACAAAAGATGAGCATGAAGTTGGCTGGACGTTAGTTACAAGGACCTTACTGCTCCGTGTTAAACACAGTCTGTCACTTCTGTCTATGATCAAAACAACAATAAAAGACGGCGCCGGGTGACATCGTGAAAGTGGCGTGGGATCATGGGAGTTGTTGCTTCTCCTGGTTTGGATTCCTTCAGTGTCAGTGGTTCAGAATAATGTTTTTCAATGTTTTGAGAATAAAAACATAAAAAATGTTGAAAAACTTAAATCACAGGATTATTTATGTTGGCCCGGCCAGACCGCATCATATGGTGAGAGATTTTTAAGTCGGCCATGAGTTAGAGAAGGTTGATAACCACCGACCTAACATCAGCTTTTTACTTCTGCTGATTGTATTGAGGCTTAAACATGATAAAGTGGTTAATTAGTGAAGACGATCCTGCTGAAGTAAACCTGTCAGGATCATAACACTGTTGTTTATTTTTACTAATAATTCAAAAGACAATGGAAAAATCCCATTGGCTTTTAATGGAGGGAACCAGAGTGATGCTAACTTCCTGGTTGGACTACAAACATACATCACCCCTGCAGCTCTATAGGTTGTACAGTATGTAGATGCAGTTGACACACTCGGCTTCCTGTCGTCTGTCTTTCAAACTAAAAGTCAGAGCCATAAACTTTTTTTTGGACCACAATAATTAATCTGTGAACCGTTCTCCAGCAGCTGACTGGTTGATTGGCCCTTGATTTTCAGAGCAGAGGAGCTTTGTAGAGTTAATGTGATAAGCTCTCACACATACAGCGTTTCATCTGTAGAGGAAATAACAAGCAACAGGAGGCTGGAGCCCAGTGATGGAAATCTTATCTGCTGATTCATGTATGAAAACCTCTCCTCCGCTGAGCGCATGTGTGACGTGTGATAGTCTTCAAGTAAATAATTGAATTGTGAAAAGTCATTTACCTCATTTGAACTTTTAGCAGAGGCTTGATTGGAGTGAATGAAACTTGCTA